ACGCCCCCCACCCCCCCTGCCGCCCAGGGCCCTTCCTGAGCCTCGGGGCTGGCACCGACTCAGGGGACTCCACATGCTGAGTTTGCAGACTTACAGCGCACATTCAGGTTGCTTGGAAATCTTGTTAAAGTACAGACTCTGCTTTGGCATTCGAAACATTTTCTTTCTAGAATCAAAACATTCCCTGCTAAACGGTTTCCAGCTAAGGCTGCCGCAGCTCCTTTGGGGACACGCTCAGAGCAGCCAGGGGCTATGCTGTCCCGAGGACCGAGGACCGCAGCCCTTCAGGACTCAGTTTTCCAAGGTCTTCAACCGGAAGAAAGACTGAGGGATCTCCTGGGGAGCAGGGAGGGGAGAACACAAGGAGGAAGAGTGCCCTGGGATCAGAAGTGTTCTGGGTTAAGTAGCCCCGGACTGTTGTTAGCACCTGCTTCACAGAGAAGCCCAAGACAGGAGCAAAGGGAAAGAAGCCACAGTCAGGCCCCTCCCCCCCCCCCCCCCCCCTTGCAGGTACATGCTTCCTGCCAGCAAGCCTGTGCAGGGAACACCCACTTGGGTGCAGACACATCTGGCCTGGGATCCTGGTGACCCCTGGGTGCCGGGTGACCCTGGGAAGAGCTCTCGACCTTTCTGACCCTCAGCCTTGTCATCTGTGTAACAAGGAATAACGCACCGTCCTCAGCAAGTGCCTAGGGAGACCAACATAAAATCTGCATTCACTCCCTAGGTGTGATGTTAGGAGCCACTAATGGGGGATGGGGAGGGGGGGCAGGAGAGGGGCTTTTAAACAACACGACTTCCTCCTCTCACGGTCCTGGAGGCCAGAGCCCTGGGCCCAGCGGTTGCCAGGGCTGTGCTGCCTCTAAAGGCTCCGGGGGGGATGCCGCTCTGAGCCTCTTGCGGCTTTGGGTGTCTGTGGACGGGGTGGGGGGGCCTTCCTCGTCTCCTTGTCTGTGGCCGCATCGTTCCAGGTCATCCGCCTCTGTCATCACGGGCACCCCCTTGGGTCTCTGGCCCACAAGGTCTGGAAGATCTAGCGGCAGAAACAGGCGGAATGGGGAAGGGACAGGCCACTCACGGCACTGGCTCTCCTCTGCTTGACTTCCCTTCCACCAGCTTCCTCGCTGGTGGCCAGGACGCATGCCTGGGCCACTTCCTTCCTGCCTGGCCAGGACGCACGCCTCTTTGTGGCCAGTGTCTTTCTTGCCCGAACCACACCCATAGCCCCGTTCCCGCACCGAGGAAGGGACACGGAGTGCCCAGTTTCGCCTGCGTTATCGCACGTGCTGCTCTTAGCAGTACCCCACTGGCATCGGAATTCCCTTCCATCTAGCTGGGCCGCACTCCAGAGCTTCTCGTTTAGCAGCAGGTCAAGGGTGGGGTCCCGTGGTCAGCATTTCTTGCGAGTTCCCAAGTGATGTTGCCACTGCTGGTCCAGATGAGACCACTGATCTAAGGTGAGGGTCTCAGGGGGTGGGGGTGTTATTATCACCATAGTATAAATAAGGAATGAGTGATGGATTCAGAGAGGTGAAGTGACCTGCCCAAAGCCACACGGCTCTAAGCGTTGTGCTCACGTGGATTATGACACTGTTCCCCAAGTGATCTTCAGTTCCGTGTCAGCTGTCCCACCCACCTCAATACCTGCCACCGCCACCCCGCCGTCCCCCAGCGGCAAGCCCACCCCCGCAGAGCTCTGCCCTCATGGAGACGGAAGGGGTTGGTCATGAACATACCAACTCCAGCACCCAGGTGGGAAGGGTGGATTCTTATGAACGGAGGGTCAGCCAAGAACTCTGGAAACACCTAGAAAAGTGACGGCTCCCAGATGGGGAAGAGGAGCATGAAGGAGGGCTTCACCGGAAGAGGGACTCTGAGCTGGGTCCTGCAGGACAGCTGAACTTCCAAGGTGGAGACGCCTTCCTGATGCTTACACATCCTCCACCTTCTCAGGGAAGCCCCCCTCCACCCCACCAACGGCCTCACTCAGCTCCCCCAGCACAGAAGAAGGAGAGGGGGATGCACACGGAGGGAGGGGGACAGAAGGGGAAGGGAGGGAGTCCCATCTAGGGCTCTGAGCCCTAGTCACTGCACAGTGACTTTGCAGACACCCTGGGAGCCAGCGCAGGTCTGCATGACTGGTGGAGGTTAAATGCAGACACAAGGCCCAAGTTGGGAAGCCATCCTTCAATTTGTAATAAAACCCCTGAGGTAGGGATGATGCACCATAAATCAACAGTCCACGAGCCCCATCGCGGAGTAATCTTTTCAATTATCTGCGTGCCCAGTGCACGTCTCCTAAGATGATCAGAAATGTGCAGCAGGGATGCCGGCCGTGGCCAGGAATCACTGAGGCCTGAACGGTCCGTGTTCGGCTGGTGGGCCGCCGGCACCTCCCAGGCCCCGCTGGTCACAGTCAGAAGGCAGCCGAGCACTGAGGCTCCCCGAGAGAAAAGGGCTAGAGAGAGTGGGCAGGAGGTCGGGCACTGGCGCATCTACAGCATCTCAGGAAAGATGTCTGTGGGCACTCACTGGGCTCCAGGCCCTGGGGACCGAGCAGGGTCCCTGCCCTCATGGAGCTGGCCCTCCAGTGGGGGAGAGAGACAACAGACACAGCAGGGCAAGGTGTGATGGAAAACAGGCAGCGTGAGCCACACCAAGACCTCTCTGGGAAGCTGAAATCTGAGCTCAAATTGTCTCCATCAGTTACAGGCTGGGTGACTTGGAGGAAGTTATTTAACCTCTCTGAGCCTGTGTGAGAGCTCCTCAAAGGGGAGGAGACATCAGCATGTGGTGAGGGCCATGAAAAAGTGAGTTGCTCCCCAACTGCCTCTTTGCTCACCCTGCCCTAATTCGCCTCCTCTAAGAAGGGCCCCCTTCTGTTCCTGCTCCTCCCAGGAGCCTTCCTTGGTTCCCAAGTATAACACTTCTTTTCTTTCCTCTGTAGGCTCCACTTCCTGGTCTTTCCTTCTCTTCACTCACCCTTGTGCATCACAGCCATTTGCATGTTTTCTCACCCCTACAAGACTGAGAATTCCTTAGATACAGGGTTTCAGTCTGACTTGACCCGGTAGGCCCCTCAGAACTAGCACAGGACATGGTGGTTAAGAGGCAGGTGCTCACATGGCTACTGCCCTGATGGATGGATGGATGGATGGGTGGGTGGGTGAGTGTGGGTAAACAAGTAAGTGAATAGGTAGATGGACAGATGGAAATGTGGATGGGTGGGAGGTGGGTAGGTGGAGGGATGGATGGATGGATGGATGGGTGGGTGAGTTAATAAAAGTCATGGGTGGATGGATGAATGGATGGGTAGATGGATGGATGGGGTGGATGGGGTGAGCGGATGGAAGGATGGGTGGATGGATGGATGGATGGATGGGTGGTGGAAGGATAGGTGACTGAATAGCTGGGTGGGCAGATGGCGGAGTGGGTGGGTAGATGAATGAAAGTCGGTACTTGGAAAAATAAGAGGATTAGAATTAAGGGCACTGAGGTGGGGCAGCTTTGCAGAGGAGGAGGAATATTTCTTCCCCAAAGATAGAGAAATTTGTTCTGAGGCATCAAGGGGGAAGTTGAGGAAACACTCTCATTTTCCCTTCATTTAGTCAAACATTTATCTGGCATCATGCTGGGTGCCGGGGATGTGAAGCAGCTTTGTGGCTAAGTAGGGAAAGCCACAAGTGAGCAGGCAGTGAATGTGTGTTGCGGCCGGCACTATCTGAGCAGAGTTCGGGGAACCTACGGGAAGAGCGGCTAATCTCCCGACACAAAGGGGGCCGCTGAAGGGCTCCTTGGCTCCAGGTGATGCTGCTTCTAAGCGGCCCCCGCTCTTGGCAGCAAGGTGGCTTGGGACCATTTCTTCGCCACCTCTGGCAAGCCTGCCCACGCCTGAGCCCCAACTCTGGGAGCCAATGCCCACCCGGGCTCCCTGGGGACCACCATTTGGCCCAGGCTTGTAGAGGCCGGGGGATTTTCTTTGGTTGCTCCCAGTGATCCCCACCGGATGGAATATTCTCCTCCATCTTGTACACGAGGAACAGGAAGCTCAGGAAGGTGAGCTGCTTTTCCCAAGGTGACCCAGCTGTGGAGCCGAGGGCGTCAGAATTCACACCCAGGGCAGGGTGACCCCGAGTCCCATGTCCTTCCCACCACCCTGTGCCGCTGCTCTGCACGGATGTCCCGTCTCCGTTGCTAGGGTAACCTCCCTCCCGGCCCAGCAGTCACCCCTCCTGGAGCGTGATTCTTGCACCTGACATCATAATCCTCTGTGACATCTTAATCAGCTCCCAGGAAACCGACGGTGCCCACAGCAAGCAGCAATATTAATGCCCAGTGAGTCAGCAGGGCCTGGACCCGGCCCACCTGCCCTGCCTCAGCCTTAACCCTCGCCTGCCCACCCCAACCCTGGTTTCAGAGTCAGATACTATGCTACTGAACCCTCCTAAACCTCAGTGTCCTCATCTGTAAAACGGGCGTCAGGATTCCCGTCCAGCGACCGCATAAAACCATGCGACGGCTTTGCAAGAGCTGGTGATGATGCTGTGTCATCTCAAGGACCTGTGGGTCCTGGGAGCTGTTTATTGCCAGTATTATTCTGCTCTGAGCTGGCTGCTCTCGGGGCCGGCAGCACCACAGAGCTCCCTGGGAGAAAAGGGGTTCTGTTGTGGGTTGCATTTTGTCCCCCACTCCAAAGATATGCCCAAGTCCTAACTGCCCCGCTCTCTCCCATGCCAGCAAGTGGGACCTTATTTGGAAAGAGCATCTTTGCAGAAGTCAAGACGAGGTCATACACGAGTCAGGTGGGACCTTAACCCAATATGACTGGTATCCTGATAAAAAGAGAGAAATTTGGACAGACACGCAGAGGGAAGATGGCGTGAACACATACGGACCAGAGGAGACCACGGCAGAGACTGGAACGATGCAGGCACAAGCGAACGGACACCGAGGGTCACTGGCCACCGCTGAAGCCAGGATCAGACGAAGAAGGACTTTACCCAGAGAAAGCACAGCCCCGCGGACACCTTGATCTTGGAAGTCGAGCCTCTCGAACTCTGAGAAGATGTATTTTGGTTTTAGGGCTCTGCTGGCTTCGGAGATGAACACGTGTCCTAATAGGACAGCCTCCATCCCAAGTCCCACGTGGTGGGGCTAAACCTCCCGGAGTCGCATGCACCCTCATGGACAGTGGGGAGGCCGCTCTACTGAGTGGCTCTCAACAGGTCACTACTGATTCCGTCTTCCGGAAATGGGGACCACGATGCCACCTCGCAGGTCGGAGGTGAAGAGAAATGGCATCAAGTCTGAGAAGGGTCAGCAGAGCTGGCGGGTCACCTGTTTCCCGGCATCCCGTGGCAGATTTTCTATTGTTTTCCGATTCCCATCGGAAGCCCTGGGTCTCTGCTCGGGAACGCGCTGGCGTCCGGGAGAGGATGGCTGAGCTCTTCGAAGGCTCCTCTTTGAAGACCCCCATCCCACCCCGGGCCTTGCACATGGACAGCAAACCTGGCAAAGCAGGAGGAAGGGCCCTTTGATGCACCCTTGTTTCCTCCTCTGCTCTCCCCTCCCTCCCCCTGCTCTCCCTTTCATCTGGCTCCCTCCCTAGCCGAGACCCAGTGCTGGCTTGGTATTTGAGACCAATTCTGCCCCAGACGCACCAGCTGAGTAGAGCGACCTATGGTCCCCACCTTTGATGTCCACGCACATGTGGAGAGGGAGCAATCCCAGGGGGCTTTTCCTGCCAAAAAACATTTGTTTCCTTTTGGGTTTTTTTTTTTTTTTTTTTTTTTTTCCCCCTGCATGAGCCTCCCCTGATCTTCTGCCCAAAGTGTCAACTTCCTCTTTGAGGAGACTCCCTTGCAAGGTTCAGATCCTCCCCTGGACCCTCCCGCGGCTGAGTGACCTTGGGCCAGTTACGCGTCACCTTCGTGATTTTGGCCAGCCCTGGCATGGAGAGCACAGGGCAGATCCCGCGTGGCCAGGAGGGATTCAATGAGACGGTGTGAATGACCAGCCTGTACAAGCTTCGTGGTGGCGATCATCGTGCCACTAACATTCTCCTCGTGTCTGAGGTCAGAAGCATAGTCCACTAAGTGCCTTGCCTCGGACCACAGCCTCCCAGTGCCTCTGTTTTCTCATCTGTTCAATGGGTTAATGGTGCCTGGGTTTAAGCGTGGTTGGACGCATTCATTGAAATGATTAAAGTGCTTAAGGCAGAGGCAACATCACTGCCTTCTTTGCATCCTGAGGGTAAAGTCTCAACGTCAGCCCAAAGAATTCTTGCCCTTCAGGATGGAGACTTCACAGCATACGCAGAAGAACCACTGCCCAGCCCCAGAAGAGTCTCAGGGAGGGTTATTCTATCTGTAGTCAGAAAGCAGAACTAAGGCCCCTGCCTGTGACGCGGGGAGGGGTGTGCTGGGCGGGCTTCTGTTTTTCTGGAAGGGTTGTAAACACAGGATAATGAGGGCTTGAGAAGGCAGCTGTAATGACTGTTATTGCTGGCGAAAAGGAGTCCATAGGAGCCCCGAACTCTCCCATACTGCCCTCTGACCAAAAGTGCAGGGCGTCTGGGAGTACCGGAAGGCAGGCGGGGCTCCTACAGACCCTTGGGGTCACCTCCCTGGCGCACACACCCTGTACAGCCTGCCCCCTCCCCACCCCCCTGCCTCTGTGCTCGCTGTTCTCTCCGGAACTGGTTCATCGTCCTCCACCTGGCTGGTCCAAGGATAGTGGTCCACAGGCTGCCGGCCTCTGGATGGGGGTTTGGGGCAGGGCCAGGAGAGTTGTCTTGGGAAAGTGAAAGGGCTCCCCAGGAGCTGTGCAGCACCTGGACAAGTGTCTTGACTTCTCTGGGCCTTGGCCTTCCATCTAGAAAATCGGATTCAAACATCTCCCGGTCAGCTCACAGTCACTGCAAGGCTCAGATAGAGTTTGACATAGAAAGTGGCTGTATCTTCTGGGATGTGCTCTAAAAATCTGTCACCGGGGCTGTTTTTGTGACATCACTCCATGCCAGGACAGGGCTCTTCTGGAAAGCCCAAAGACCTCTTCTAGTGAGAAAACAAGTTTTATTGCAGACTTTCTGAGGACCCAGCACCGTGGCAAGCACTTCACATGCTTTTTCCTGTTTACTCCTCATGACATAAGGTGAGCGGACTCATGAGGCCCATTTTACAGATGAGAAAGCTGAGCCATGAGGAGGTCAGCAACTTTCCTAACATCACGGAGAGTATGTGGGAGATGGATTCAGTCATTCAAAAACATTTTCTGAGCACCTGCTATGTGCTCCGTGCTTGGTGCTAAAGAGAGAGCCCCGAGCCAACCAAGCATTTGCCCTGGCCGGGCTGAACTTGAAGGCGGGGAGACAGAGAACAAACAGGTAAAGGGACATAGTGAGACGTTGAATGGCAACGTGTGCTATGGAGAAAAATAAGGATAGAGGGAGTGGTTGTCTGGGGGAGAGTTTTGTGCCTTCGAGAATGTGGTCGAGGAAGACTGCTGTGAGAAAGTGACGTTGCAGCAGGGACCAGGGAGGAAGGGAGGGACGGAGCCACGCTGGTGTCTGAGGGAAAAAAGTAGGAGGCATAGGGAACAGCCTCCCACGCATCCACAGAGGAGGCAGGAGTGCTTGGACAGCCCGGAGGAGCCCGGAGAGGCTGTAGGAGCTGCCAGGTTCCAGGGAAGGGGTGAGGGGGGAGGGGAGATGTGGGGAGAAGGAGGGGACAGATCAGGAGGGACCCCGCAGGCCCTGCTGAAGGGGTTGGCGGCTCCACAGCCCCGCCTCCACTGGGTTGTGCCCCTCTCTACACTGCGCAGGTGCAGGGCCCTGAGCCTGAGCTGGGAGTCATGCTCAGGGTGTGGTGGGGCCCAAAGGACACCGCTTTGGGGTCACCGGGCTGGTTTGGGATGCTGTCTCCAGGCACTGGCCCATCTAAGTCACTGGACCTCTCTGGACCCGGCTTCCTCGTCTACTTAAAAGGGCACAGAGTACCGGCCCAGGGCGAGGGTGCACTGTGATGGCAGGGAACAGCCTGGACTCTCACATCCAGCCCTCGGCTGTGTTAGGAGCAGCTCCAAACACTTAAGAGGGGCTCTTATTCAACGAATCCTCACCTTTAAGGAGAAAGAGAGGCTGGAGAGGGTGAGCAAGTCCGCAGGGAGCACCCTGTGGAGGAGAGTCCTCCAGGGTCTAAAGGTGGCCTCCTCCGCTTCTCTCCCCACCCCCAGGCGTCGCCGGCTCCGCAGCCCCGCCTCCCCGCCCCGCCCCCCAATCCGAGCCGGCCTCCCCTTACCTGGCAATCACGCTCCTGGCTGGCTCAGGTTACTGGAGGCCCTGAGGGGTCTGTTTAAACAAGTGTGTCTGAGCAGGAAAATCAAACAGACAGCGACCCTCCGGGGCCGCCACGGGACCACCGCCAAGGACTACCCCTGAACCTGATAAGGCCGGATCTATTTTCACTTAATTGGGCTGCGGCCAGGGGCCCACCTTTCCATCAGATAGGAGGTCTCCCCAGGGATGGGAAGGGTCCCCATCAGGTGGGGCTGTCGTGCACCCCTGGCCGGGAAAGGAGACGGCCAAGGGGGTTGGGGGCGCCACCGGCTGGGGAGGTGCCATAGGAGAGTTTGCTCACTCCTGCCTGCAAAGTTGGGGAGGAGGCTGTTGGGAGAAGAATTCTATTCCCCAGAAAGGCCCGGGGAGGGAAATTCATCCTTGGGAGAAGGGTGGGGCCTGGAGTCCACGCAGGCCTTTCTGAGTGACACCAAGCGCGTCCTGTGACCCCTCTGGGCCTCGGTTGCCTATCTTCAGAGGAGGAGGCAGCTAGAACTCCCCGTCAAGGTCAAAGGAGATTCAAAGGCAGCAGAACCAGCAACGGAGGAGTGACTTCAGTGTTCTTTTAGAAACGTCGTTCAAGAACTATTTGATCAGCACTAGGATGAACTGTCTTTACCCTTGACCCCAAGGTCCAGCCCTCTGGCCCTACCCCCTGGCCCCAGTGCAGCTGGCCCGATGTGGGGTGCTCTGGGCTGGGAGTCTGGCTGGTGCTGAAAGCTTGCTGTCACCTGCTGGTCATCCATTCACCTCTCCTGTCAAGTGTCCCCTCTTGAAGTCGAGCCCCTGTGCTGGCCGCGGAGGCCCCCACAAGCTTGCTCTGGGGAGCCAGACAGATGCCCACGCACGGGGATCAGAACAGGGGCCGCCGGAAGCACCCTGTGGACGGGCAAGGCTTTGCACCCTTCTCTGCCCTTCTCCTGTCGGGGAGTCCAGGGCAGGGGTCTCCAGCCCGGGGTACGTCGGTGCCGTGGGGCGCACTGCAAAATCCCCTGGGGTGCCGGGAGAAATCTTAGAACTCTTCCTGTTTTTATGTTGGTTGAAACTATTTCCCCACGTGCAACCAGGGATGAAAAGGGACTTGCTGCCAGGATTAAAAGCATCAAGATACTTACGAGCTCAGAACAGTGCCTGGCGATAGTAATTGCCAAGAGGCTTCAACTATTACCAACAGCAGGACTTATTCCCGGATCCGGAGGGGCGTGGCTTTGCAGGAGTCGTGACCCCGCCCCCTGGGGGAGCGCCCAGAATCTGCGGGTCTCACCACTGCAGGGCCTGGGCAATCGCGCGCGCCAAACCCGCCGGAGGTGGAGGAAAGCAGAACTGAATCAAATTCTCCGGCATGTGCGACCTCCACGGCCCGCCTACCCCGTGCCAGAGGTGGGAGGGGGACACCAAAGATTCCCGCTCTTCCCAGCACGCGTGGCGCAGCGGAAACCGCGCCCTAGCGCTCGCTGGTTCCGGTCCTGGTGGCCGGAGCGGCCCAGCTGCGCGGCCTGAAGCACGCGACTTCAACTTGCTGCATCTCAGTTTTCTCATCTGGAAAATGGGATGCCCACCCCGGGGACTGTTGTGAGAAGTTACTTGTGGTGATGCGTTGGAAACACCTAGCACATAATCTCTGCTCAGTGCGGGTGGGTTCGCTCCAGCATCCACCGTCGCCTCCCCCAGCTCCAGGAATAACCGAACCCTGCCTCCAGACTCCGAGCCGGTGTCCCCAGCCCTCACCGGAGACGCAGGCCAGACGCTCCCTGAACTTATCGGGGCCAGCGTGCGCCAGGGGGCACTCCGCTTCCTACTCTCGCACCGGAGTCCTCGCAAGGTGCAAACCACTGGTCCCAGAGGGGACACCCAGGTTTCCTGACCTTCCTGGGAGCCGGGGAGGGATGAGCACTGGGTTAGGGTTGGCTGGGGAACCTGTATGTTAGTGCCACTTCTGTCCGTCTCAGCCTGTTTCCCTCTCTAGGCCACACGGCTGCTCCCTTGCACACGGATTGAGCGCTTACTGCATGCTGGAGGGTTCCTGGACTCTGCCTTCCAGGTTGAAGGTCACAGGGAGGCTTCAGGACCTTGGAGGCCTGAAGGGAGGGAGGGGTGTGTAGGGCATAGGCCAGCCGCTGTCTTTTCTGGATGGTTGAGCTTCAGTGCATAGAAAGTGTCAGAGGATCCAAATTCTGGGCGGGGGGAGGAGGAGTCTTTTCCCTCTGAGAACTTTCCAGGGGGCATCCCAGGCAGGAGGGACAAGCCAGGTGGGGTGGGGCCTAGGTGTCCCTGGCGGGTCCAGATCCAGAGCCAACGGCCTCTCCGCAGGGCAGGACCTGGGCCACACCCCTTTCCTATCCTCCCCATGACCCCAGGCAGAGGGTACACTGTGCAGTTCACAGCCCAGA